TTGCTGGTTCCAAATCGAGTTCACCTCTCATAAATCAGAAAACCTGACATATGATATTATACCAGTGTTGGAAATTCAAATAGCAGCTGGTCCCATATTTTTATATTATTCACGATTTAATTCACGATTAAGATTTCTTGATGAGCTAGAAAACACTCGGATTTGAAGTATGAAACTGAACATTATTGTGCCAGCTAGCCTATACCAGTTGGTTGCATGGGATTGATTGTCAGTTCTGATGCAAAATATTGAAAGCAAAAGGTTATACACCATAGATTAATTGGGTACCACGCGTATATAAGATAGCCGAGTCGGTTTAGAGTTAGTGTTGGGGTTAGAGATAGGGTTTCTTTGTTGTCCACCGGACAATGTCTCCGACTGGTTAGGTTGTCCGGCGCAAATTCTGGTTGTCTCGGACAACCGGACAACGCTTACTTCGAGCACTGATAAATTATGTACCCGAGGTAACTATCTGATATGGTTAGGGTTAGGGTTAGGGAGTAGGCGTAGGCGACATACTCGCCGACACCTCGGTTACTACATATACAACAACGACCCCTTCAGCCATAGTAAGGGTGCCTGAGCCCGCTCAGATCGCACGCACTCGCTCTATGCGCACTCGCTCAGATGCGCTGCCGTATAAAGTTGATAACTCAACAACCACTATCCCGATTTTGACGATTTTTTTTTACTATTTTGGCGGGATACCAAGCATTGAAATCTGGTATCCAACACAAGAATCTACTATCCTGCGGATATTGGGATACCGCTAATTTCGACCCCTGTTAGGGTTAGGGAGTAGGCATAGGCGACTCCCTAGACTCGTTAGTGGAGTAGGCGAGGTACGGTCTGGCATATTAGATAGTAGTATTTAGTACCAGAATATGTTCCGGTATACCGGACCGTACCCAGGGTACATTTCGGCAGTACCCTGGGGGACATAGACCCTATCAGCGTTAGTTATACACTCCCCAATCTATCTATATTATTTCTATGGTTACACTACACAAGATAATGAAGTCCGAGTTTACTCTGATCAATGCCCACACCGACGATTTTGGTAGATTTGGTGTGGGTTAAAATTGTCATGCTATTAATCTTGCTTCAGTTCACTGGCCCAGCAACAATGCAGTGTCACGGAGTGTACATGCGAAGAAGTGTGGTTATCCTGCTGCGCTGCATAGGTCATTTACTTGTACACCCTCAATACACCTACACCACATGTACACTACCACAGGGTCTAATCCAGGCCATTTTTCATACCGAATACCGGCGCCCAAATTACGAATACAACCCCTATCAAAACGCCCAAATTACAAAATTCATAAAACGCCCAAATTAACAGAGCTCTGATGCAGATGTCCATGTTTCTATCATTATGTAGGCACTGTTTTATAATGAAATGCTCATATAAGATCTATAATCTATTATCTGAATAAAATGTGTCGACCAAACGCACAATTTAATGTGATAGATAAGTATATATATAATTTTTTAGGCTCGTTACGCTCGCCACGGTTGCCCTTAAGCAGCTAGATTAGCCCCTGACTACGCTACAGGTCTACATATGATCAAGAGCGTATTAAAAAGTAGAGCGTACAACAGTGAAATGCTGAAACCATGTTGCAGTATTAGTCGAATTAAGAAACTTTGCCGTTTTATTTTGACGATTCTTTGCGGTAGTATTGATCAGCTGTCCTACCTTACTAATATAAAGCAAACCGCTTGTCCCTACGATGCTCCTATGCTGAGATAATGAGCGGTGAAAATCTGGAATTTTTGCCGAAAACCGACTCGAGATCCCTGTTGGCTGCGACTCTCTCGCTTTAGGATAGCTTCGGGAAACCTCGCGTGTTTCCGTCAATGATTGACAAATGGAATGAATGACGTCTGTTATTGATTGCCATAGTGATGACCCCCACCTGTGCCCACCTCACGCTGGATGTACATAGTAAACTCTGTAGTACTGACGTAATGAGTCAGCTCTACCATGGCGCTACACAGCGGCGACCGGAAGCAACATACTGGCCACAAAACGAGAGAGAGTCGCAGCCAACAGGGATCTCGAGTCGGTTTTCGGCAAAAATACCAGATTTTTACCGCTCATTATCTCAGCGTAGGAGCATCGTAGAGACAAGCGGTTTGTTTTATATCAGCAAGGTAAGACAGCTGATCAATACTACTGCAAAGAATCGTCAAAATAAAACGGGCAAGGTTTCTTAATTCGACTAATACTGCAACATGGTTTCAGCATTTCACCATTGTACGCTCTTTAAATTTAATACACTCTTGATATGATATATCAGAGCTTCAGCTATGAATACATGTATGGGAACATCCTGTATTTTGTATAAATAGATATCCATCAAACACTATACGTGATGTGCTACTGTAAGGTCACAGATAGGTCATGAGCGAGCAAGAAGTGTTAGGATTGGTGTTATAATAGGTATCTGGACTTTCTGGTCTAATCACAAATCTCACCAACCGAATTATATTTGGCAGCACATTGGTGAAACCTACTGTCACAAACTCACCCAACTGTATGTGGGCAGAGATTTTTTCTTATTTCAAGCACTGAATAGTGTGGTAATATGTGCAATGATTGATAAGATAGCTAGCTATCAAAAGAAAACACTTAGATTGATGCTCTAATAAATATACATGACCTAGCTATCACTGCACAGTGAGTGCACACTCAATTATTCCCTATTTATTTTACTGTCAGACTCCCTGGTTTGACATCAGCAGTAATCTGTGTGATTCCATGAAAATTCTGAGAGACAGAAGCAAAAATGCAAAAACATTGATGGCACATTGATTGCATCCATCCACATTGCAATTATTCTAATTCCAATTATCAGTCTATATCATTAGCATTGTATCGTTGTGCTAGCTGCTAACCGAGTGCTGATACATATACTTATGTTGTTCTTAACCAAGGATTTCATCAAATTAAAATGCTGGAGAGCAGCCAGCCAGCACAGCCAGTAGCAGCTGCAGCATCTCAGGAAAGAGCACCTTCGTCTAGTAAGTGTGGGGACAGCTCACAGGCACCAGGCAATAAGGATGGCAGTGTGGCAACACGTTCGAGAAGCCCACAGTTATCACAGAAATTGATGCTAGTGCCTGACACTATGGATGAGGAAGAGAATGAGGATGAGTGAGTAAACGTTATATGACAAATGAAACTATGAGTAGACACCACTAATTTTGGCATATATATATATATATATGTTAGATATTTTCATTGCTGTGTTTTTGTGTAAAATTATTGCTGAACCATTTGTATACAGACTTAAATTATGAAATTTCCAGAGTAATATTGTTGCGTACAGGAAACAAAGATGTTTAGGGCAGATCAGAACAATATATGTATAGCAATAATTAATCGGTTTAATTCATAAATATTCACTACCTGTGACATACATGAAATGCATGTGTGTAGTGTTGTGAAAGCACAGTTCCGTAATGCAACATAGAGACGTAGATTGTGAGGGAAATAAATGCGGCAATAAAATAATGTAAGAGCAGCCTCAAGCAGCCGTCAGTTATGCACGACGTAGTTTTGACGTTTGCGATTTCCAGGGAAGGTGACAGCCGTAAAACAGTCGTTAGCATTCACAGTGGCTACGCGTCTGGTCATCCATTACAAAGCTCATCACAGATTCCCAAATCCACGTCACGATTAGGCCACGCCCCTTTTCAAATCGTTGATTTTTACTGGATTTACTATTGCTTCAAAAGTTACAAAAACACATTTTTTAAATAAAATACCTAAATGTAAGTAATATTATGGTAAAAACTTATTGTTTATTGTTTTTTAACGCAAAAATATAGTTGGGTTCACATAAGAAATATATGACGTACGCGTAGCCTGGGAGCTGGGCGTCCGATAACCGGACGCGTATAGCCACGGCATAATATATATACAGTCCGACCTCCTTTATCCGGCCATCCGTTATGCGGAAATCTCTAAGTCTGTTATCCGGTCGCGATCTCGCAGTGTATGTTCTCTGTTTTTTCATTCATTTCCACTTAAAAATTTCGCTCAAAACTCACTCAAAGCTCACTTAGAACTCGCGCGATGTTTGCGTGAGTGTGCGCGCATGTGTGTGTGTGTGTTGTCCGCTCGTGTCCGCTATGCCTCCGGACAACTTTCGTCCGTTAAAACGAACAACTTTTACTAGCGGACATTAGTGAAACGCGCTACCGCGCTACACACTCGTGATCGATCAAGCCCCGTACTTCAATCAAAGGCGCCGCTGCCGCGCACATGGCTGGAAAAACGCGGCATGGCTGCGTCAGATTTTTGTGACATCACTAGTGGTACACGTGTATATCACATGTCAACAAGAAAACCACGGTATTGAGCTGGTTACGGTATGATAATTCTGAAATATTACACCGCGATAATATCGCAATACCGGTATACCGCTGCATCCCTAGTATCCGTCCCTTCTCACGCTCGATATGGGGCGAGTTACACGTGATCGTAAGATACACGTCCTGGCCTTCTCGACGTGTGAGAAGGGACGGGTACCAGTCTAGGTGCATTCACGGGGAAAGCTGCAAACGACATTCAGAATTTGAGCAAATCGGCGTAGAATTGCAGTTTAAAAACGATTTTTTCAGGTCCATGTAGGTTCCATTTATATTATTTGTATTCGTCAGTATTCGAATAATGATGACGCGAATACGTGAGTGTATCGATCGTTACAGCCCTAGATCTCAGCACAAAAGAAACAAACATAAACCGAAGTGGTAAAATTTCTGTTTTATTTTATTTTATTTCCATTTTATATAAACCATAAAACACGACAGTTTGTTACAAATAAACATAGCAACGAGTAAATACATTATAACATGCATAAACCCTACTGAACTGCCTAGAAATGCTGTGTTTGGGCATAACTCTCATATCCGGCCAAATCGCATATCCGGATGGGTGGCGGTCCCGACGTGGCCGGATAAAGGAGGTCGGACTGTATATATATATATATTAATTTATAGGTGCATACCACCAACTTCAGACTCATATGGGGATTCAGTTGAACTGGTACCGTGTACCCCTACCGATAACGATTCTGGAAGCCATTCATTGCATGATGATACAGACAAGGGAGCAGCTGCTGAATCAATGCAAACCAGCTCTGACTCACAAGCGCATTGTGTATGGCAGAGGAGCAAAGCAGTTTCCTTTCAGGTAATCTAATTATCAGTATGTGTGTTTTAGAGTACATTCTTTCGTTTAGTGCATGTTTTATCTCACCGGTCTATTAACTTTTCCATATTTTTTATTGTGAATGTATGGTATTGTCATAGCAAGAGTGAATCTATTATTTGTTTTGTTTTTTTGCAATTATTAAAATGTATGATACATGAATTTTCAATTTCATCAATGCGATGGTTTTCTAGCTTTGTCATAATTTCAGGAATGGCAACCAACATTATCTTCAAGCACCAGCTCAGAAAGGTCGTCTGCAAAAGAGGTTAATATCCCAGTTATTATAATAGCAGTTCATGTAACCAGTTATTTTAGTATTCAGTAAACAGTATATTTATGTGTACATGTGCAGTGCATAGTGTCTGGTCAATGGCTGTATATAATTGATTCAGTTTCTGGATATGATACATTTGCAGGAAAGAGGCAATGAAAAAGCAGTATCCACAAATGTAGAGGCAGTAAAGATAGCATCTGATGTGAACCAGCAATGGCCACTAGGTAACTATATGTTATATTAGTTTCCAATAATTTTTCCACAAACAGGTTTGTAATGTAGATAATTAGCATCCGACCAAATGCTAATTATTCTCATATTATGTGTATAAAAAAATGATTTTACTAAATATGTTTTTGATTTTAACTAGTGCTTATTTTGTTTTATATGTATGTGTGTGAGTACCTGTGTGCGTGGGTGCGTTTATATACAAAAGAGAACGAACAGAGATGACACCCTTTAACCTTAGTCAATCACAAGAGCATCCTAATAAATTGTTCTACGTTTACTCGCTGTTAAGATGTGAAGCTGGCTGGGGTTGTAGAGGAGGGCCACGAGGTATCGCAAAGTGAAGACTGGCAGCTTCAGCTCTCCCCCACGCAGCGAGTCTCCAAGCATGCTTCCCTGTTTGCGGCCAGCGATGCATCTCGTTTGTGCAAGTCTGTCTCTCAGCCGACCGTGAGCTCTCTGGCAACCGAGCACGAACAAATGCTCACCGATGCCGCGATAGCAGATCCGCTTTGTGTTCAGGAGAAGAGAGAAGGGAGCGATGCATCTATGAGTGGTAAACTTGGATATATCTTCGATAAACTAGATTTTTCCTATGACATGTTAGGTGTAGTGTTCGTAGCGGTGTCGATTATTATATTAGAATGAAGATTAGCGAGGGTTTTTTGTCACTGAGATGGATGTTAAGGAAAAGACCCTATCATTACGTTCAGCACAAATCGTTCTGATGTATTTAAAAAAAAATGTTGCAAAGTATTTCCTGGATTTACTTGCCTTGCACCAGGCCCTTTATCAGGACTACTGCTAGTGTTCACCACCTTTGCAAAATGTGATAAAATAAATACCAGTGATAATTTTACTACACTAAGTGGCGAATACAATTGGCAGATGATGACTGCCTACAAAGTTATGATTGAATAATGAAATAATCAAATTGCAGTGTCGTGTAAGTACTACCAAATTCCGTAACCTAGTCTTTTGGTGCATGTTCTGTGCAACGTTGCAACAACCTGTTTTTGTGTAGGCTAAACTACATTATTTTATTTTTACTTGATTACCCTATTAAAAAATTTTCCGTACACCTCTTTCCCATATTCATTACCTGTTTATGCTTTGCTTAGCATATACGATAAAGTTAACAGTGGCTATAGTTTTTCATTGGTGTCTAAAAATTAATTTGGTGGGTCAAGTCTTGGCTCAAACTTTAACACACTCAGAGGGAGCCTTACTTGATGATCTGGCCAACTTGAGTATGCCCTGCCTTGTCTTCAATCTCTTCAGTGGATGTGCAACATATCAGCCAGCAGCCAGATTCTGAGAGCATTTTCCAACCATTAACGCACACCGGTCTATTGCTCGAGAGCCAACATGGAAGAAAGGAAGAAACCAGAGGCGAAGCTGTGTTGTTTAGGGACGAGAGAAGTGGGGTTACCGAGGAGGGAGGTCAGCGGGAGGAGGGCGCAACACCAATCCTACGTATCGAGGACGTTGACAGTGAATTTCAGCAGGGCAATGGCCATGACGCGCCACTGTTCCAACTGACCAGTAAGTCTTCGTTATTCGAGAATGTTTGCTGGAATATGAGAACATGGTGGATGCTTGTGATGTCTAACCAAGATGTCACTTCAAATAGCTATGAAAAACTTGCCATCCAAATTTAAATTCTTAGTGTATATTTTAAACTTTGCTTGTTAAAGGGATATTAGTACTCTAGGTTCTTTAGATATTTTCAGCTAAGATAGGTTAAAATTATGCTTCATAAAATGTTTTATGGTTCAATATTTATTAGAAATATTTAATAAAAAAAGTTTTAAAACTGACGGCTATACCATTGCTTACAAAGACAATGGCGGCGCACCCACTGAAAAGTTGCGCAAAGCAACGTTTCGTCTGCAGGCTACAGACTGAGGGTGTTTCTTATTATTTATTAATTTAAGAGCAGAAGGATTGTAATATCTTATCAACAACATAATAGTTTCAGTTATAATATGGATAAATTTGTCCTAAAATGAACATCGTTCGGTTAAATAGCATTTAGGTATAAATATAATTGCACTTTTGTGATTAGCCCTCGGTCTGTAACGTGCAAAATAAATTGGCAAATGCGCAACTTTTTCAGGGTGGCAGCACAATCGCGGGTGTCATGTCAGCGCCCAAAAATGAAGATTTTGAAATTCAATGGTGTTTTTTATGACAAACGTGAATGCGTAATTATAGATATTTATAGTTATGTGCTATTATTTATAAATCTACTGTCATAATATACTCTCAAATTCTAGAGGAAAGTATCCCCTTAAGTGTGGTGGGTACTTGCAAAGAATATTTTCCGGTATATTTTAAGTAAGCTTTAGCATCCTTGTATGGTGATTGCTTTTATGTTTTAGTATTCACGTATTCTCGTGTGTGTACGTCAGTTGCCTTTACTAGTTGCTATGGTTTATACGTTTAGTGTTGCCTTGTACAATGTTTTAATATAGTGTGCGTGATTTAGTTTTAGTAGAAGTACATACACTTGGGGTACCTTGCTGCCCTGGTGTCGTCATTTAATTGTCACTTGTTAAACTAGCAATTTTAATTAAGAATTGTTTTTTTATTATTGCATTGACAGTGAGGAGTTTGCAAGCTCATGCTGATATATCTTGAATGTACTGTCTTTAAATTAATAAATAAATAAGTAATATAAATAAATAAGCACATGAACAAAATACTATCATCTAATTTCGTATAGGTAATATGGAAAAAAAATCCCTTTTCATCCTCACAATGAGTTTATATTTGCAGCACCTGACTTTGTCGAGAAGATGTTACAGAACAGAAATGAGGATCCTGTGAAAGCAAGCCCAAGTAAAGCTAGTTCATCTTTCTTTAAGGTCAAGGAAGGAAAATCAACTCCACAGAAAAACAAAGAGTAATTACTTTATACTTACTTTTTATTTTACTTTTTTACAGTATATTTTGGTTATGTGTCAAAAGTCAGTAGAAATTGATCACATATGTATTAAATTCCGTGATATGGAGCAATGTCGTTATATAGAGTTTGGTATTTATTGTTTGGTATTGTAATATTGCAAAAGCAAACGAATATGTACATGAAAACAGAATGGAATAGTTGTGGTTTAAATGAGTTAGTTTGTTGTTGTAATTAGCTGTTAGTATAGTACGTCTGCCTCAACATGTATGGATACTGTATTTCTATATTGTCTTGATGGTGTATCAGCCTTGTGTGTGGATCGAGTAAAATGACATTCCTAGGAAGATAAACAGCGAAGCTGTCGCTATGGATGTTTCAGGGACCCATTTGCAATAAGAGGCGACTCTGAAATGAAGAGCAAAACACGTCGGCCACCAAGGGCATTAGCATTTGGTGATAAACGTGGTGAAGAGTCAGACTGCACTGAACTTGGAAAGCTGGCAGGTAATGTAATAAAGGAAAATGTCGAGAAATCGACCAAGAAGAGAAAATAGTATCCAAAGTAATAACCAGTGATGGAGAAAGTGTAATTTCCTCCATCTTCTGTGGCTGCGACAAAATTGACATAGGAAGCTGACAAATGCTGTCGCAGTGTTGCATTCACATAAGTCAACGCCACATGGTAATGTGAACGTGGATGTTGTCTCCATACATGGAGGATGTACGTATTGCATGTAACAAGCAATACATCATTGCCATACCCCACGTTCCATTGCAGACTTGTAATTAAGGAACGCTGAGCTTTTTGTCGACTGGTCTCAATTCTCAAAAAATAAAATCTTCCAGAAAAGGCCACCGTGGAAACGTCTGCACCTTCTCTAGGCGCTAGTCCGGTGAGATTGTCTCCACATCTAGCCAAACCTGTTGCGGAGGAGGACACGCAGCCAGGGCCTTCCTCGCAGCGGCGCCCATCTATAATAGTAACGTCGCCCCGAACTGCCGTGAAGCCAGTGCGAACGTCTCCACGGAGGAAGTCGTTAGCTGCTGGTGACATCGCGGGCGGGACAGCCGACCTCGGCGCTGCGAGGTCGAGCGAGCGGGGGTCGGGGCGGGTCACGCTCGACGATAGCGGCCGGCGGCTCTCCTTCACGAGTCTGGCAGAGCCAGCAGCGTCGAAGGCTGCGCGCGGCGAAGACGTCATGCCGTTGCCACGGCAACCGTCATCGGCAGTATCCTGCCCCTTGGTGACGAAGCGAAAGAAGGCCAGCTCACGAAGAATCTCCCAGGTAGACTAGGAAGATTAATATAATCAGGGGTAATTAATGTCAAAGTTGTCATTAATTTGTCAGTATTCACCCCT